CAGGAATGGAGTTTTGCAGCTGCAGTTGCTTTCTCCTGCACCAGTGGGTCCCCAAATCCAGTTGGATGTGCTAATTCAACACTGCTGTCTCAGATCTCTTGATTTTCGGGGACATGAGGGGTGGGAAGAAGACACTTCCAAGGGAACATCCTCTCACCTCCTTGGCCAACCCCAGGGAAGACTGGGCAGGTCAGGCTGGATGAGCCAGAGGAGCCACACAGCCAGAGCAATGTGCCAGCTCTGGCTGCAGTGGGGAGTTGTGACCCACTCCACAGTGGCATTTCCCAAAGGGCTATGGGATCTTCCTCAGGGCACCCTCCCTCATCCCAGCTACCACCTGGAAATGGAAATGCCAGGGGCCACGACTGGCTGCTGTCTTACCAGGGCAGAGCTGCTGGAGGAAGGTGTATGTAGCCACCTCCAGAGAGGCTGAGCTGGAGAGGCCCCCACCCAGGGGGATGTCACTGGCTATCAGGGCACTGAAGCCTGGCACAGGACCACCTGCAGGAAGAGAGGGGAGGAGGGGAAACATGAGCCCCTGCAGGGCTGGGGGCTGCCCACAGCTCACAGGGAATAACAGAGAGGAGCCCCTGTCCAACACCTCATTTTAAAACACAGGGTGACCCACAGCAGAGCATGACCCTTCCAAACACAGGGAGCTTTGGAACTGAGCATGTCTCTGCTGGAGCCTGGTCCTGGCAGAGCTGCAGGATTGCACCAGCACTGGAAGAGCCCCTGGAGCACACCCAGAGCTGGGTGCTGAACACCAGCCTCATGAGGGGGACTCTGACCTGCCTGGCAGCCTGTGCCTTACCTGGGTAGTGCTGGATGACACCCTTGACGTAGTTGGCCCAGCGAGGCTGGCCCGGGCTCAGGGAGCTGCCGTGCTGAGGAGCTGGGAACTGCACCTGGTGAGGCTCATCTGCCTGTGCCGAGATGGTCAGGATGGAGATGATCCCGTCCTGCCTGGGAGCTCCCACCAGCACCGTCCCCATCTGCAGAGCCTGGGGGTGGGAAAGGTGAGCTCAGACCCTGTGGCATCTCTTGGAGCATCCCCACGGCTGGTAGGGGACAGTGGTGGCTGCTTCAGCTCACAGCTGGAGCACTCAACACGTTCTCCTTAACCGTGTCCCAGCAGAGTCCCCACCACACGCTCTGGCTCAGCACAGAATTAAACTTTCTAGCTTGTCATGCCACACAGGGTTAGTCTTCCTACTGAATGTTGTGACCGAGTGCCCCAGCTCGGTGCTTGTCAGGCTCTGGGGAAGTGAAAACCCACAACAAGGACGGGAGAGGCTTCGGGAAGTTTTCCTGCCCACCAGGGAATTGAGCTGACCTGCTCCCACGCTCCACAGCCTCACAATAGTTAGCTGATCTAGGACTAAGCAGAGGCTTCCCCGCTGAGCCGAAGGAGCTGGACAAGGAGCAGGAACCTTCTGCTGCTCTGAGCCACCTCCACCACAACATCGCCCTCTGGGAACGGGAAACTGTTCCACAGGGTTGCAGGAAAGAGGCTTCAGCCCCCGGAAGGTTGGGAAGGGGAATCACATCCCTCTGCCCCGCGGA